CTGACAGCCTGAAAACCAGGGCCTACAGGCCCCGTGTCGTTTCAGCCTGACAGCCTGAAAACAAGGGCCTATAGGCCCTCAGGCTTTAGCCAGAAGCTACCTGGAAACTTCCCGGAAGCTTCCTCAGGCTTTAGCCAGAAGCTACCTGGAAACTTCCCGGAAGCTTCCTCAGGCCTTAGCCAGAAGCTACCTGGAAACTTCCCAGAAGCTTCCTCAGGGTCTAGCACGTTTGGGCATTGGCAAAAGCAGCCTCCTGGACGGGCCAGCACTATATAAGACTGGCCCGCCCTGCAGGCTGCAGGTAGTTGGGGGTAGTTGATAGGTACTCCCCAGGCACTTCACGTGCAGTCAGGAGGCAGGAGGTAGTCTTCAGGATTCGGCAGCAGCACTTTGGAGGAGCGCTGCAGGAGTAGTACTAGCGTTAGCAGTAGTCTTCAGCGCTGGGCGCCAGAGCTAGAGTAGTACTAGAGAGAGAGATATTGGGCGGAGGCCAGGGATACTTACCTGCAGCGCCGTCGCTCCAGCTTCGTCTTCGAGGTACCTGCAGCACAGCGCCATCTTCACAGGTTAGTACCTGACACATGAGAGAGAGAGTTCTTCTTCTTCCTCTTCTCAGTCCACCATCTCCTTCTCACCCCCTCGCTATCTGACTTCACTGCATCAGCAGACTAAGAGAGAGAGAGAGAGAGCTTGGTGACATTTGGATCCAGACTCGACATTGGACTTCAGACATATCGAAGAGGGATTATTTGGGACTTGCAATGAGACTTGGTGTTGACGACTTTCCCATCTCTCCCCTCCTCTTCGTCTGCTCCCCTCCTCTTCGTCTGTGCATGGATGGACCTGGCGCCTCTTCCTGTGTATAGCGCCAGGCTCCTTCACACATCGTGATGAGCATGATATATGTTTAGTCTACATTGAGACATTGATTGGGCTAGTCATAGTATTCTAGCATTCTGCTTCGCTATCTTGTACTACGTGAAAGGGGGTCAGTCCCGGTCAGGTCAGGATTTGTATCTAAGTCTTCCCTGCGCTATAAAGCACCATTTGTATGTATCGGAATGCACATTGCTTGTTGAGATTCTACTTGCACTGCATTGTCCATTCAGTCCTTTTTATCACATTGCGGATCCTCAGTTTTGTATGTACATCGCCCAACTGGGCATGTAACAGTTGGTATCGGAACGCCGCACGTGAATCAGGACAACCTGATCTGACACGTGTATGGGGACTAGGTAGCTGATTAGTCTTGATAGATTGATTAGAGCACACTAGTTAGCCCCCAAAATCACGATTTTGACATTACTGCCGAAAATCATTTTTTTTCTTCTTTTCTTGGATTTTGTTTTCTCGCTATTTCTGTTGTGGAAAATCGCAATAGCGCAACGTCTGAATTTCCGAAGCTGTCTGATCTTCCTTCGATGCTAGAGCTGCTGGTTTGGCCGCTTATGGAGAAACTTCGTTCGAACTATACTCCTGACTAGAACCCTATACATTTGTTGCACTCCTTACTAGAACCCTAAACCCTAGCCTGTCTAATGGTCCCTGTGGGCAGGACCTGCTCTTGAAAACGTAGGTGTCTTTGATTTTATCTGAGGGAAATATGGAGACTCGCTAGTCGTCCTTCTCCTTGGGTCGTTTGGCTTCCCATCTGGTGGGGTCTACTCCTGGGTTAATCTGTGATTTGTGGTGTGACTGGTCCGATGGGGTTCCTACGAAGGTTGTAACTAGATTCTTTTACCTAAAGAGAATTTATCGTTTTTTTTTTTTCCTTCGTGAGGCTATCGTCTTTGCTGTTTGGTTCAAGTGTGTTTAATTTGTTCCCTGGTACTTGACTAGTCTGGTGGGCTAGAGGTCTTGTTTTTGGTGGGGGGATAGTGTCGTGTTGATCTGGTGCCTAGTGTCATGTCTGTGAGGTGTGTTCTGCTTTCGGGTGTCTGGGGTAGGGCTTTGGGATTTATGTCTTCATTGTCCAAAGTGAGTTCTATCCTGCTCTATCGTAGCTATCTTACCTTCTCCTAGAGAAGGGTTCTAGTGTTTTGAGAAGGATTCTAGTGTTTTGTCTTCTTTATTTGTTAAATTATTTTGAATTGTCGTGCGGGTTCTTTTCCAGCGCCCCCTGTCTTCAGTTTCTATTAAGCATAACACTTCCTCCCACGCTTCTTGGGTGGTCAGTGCTGTGTGGTCAATCGTCTCTTGGCATCTGCGCTTCCAGATTTCCCATAAGGTAGCTAGTATCGGCGTCTGGAAGAAAGCGGTCTCACTCATACTGGTGCCAAGAACTAGGCACTTGCATTCCCAGCAGGAGTGGTATCTGCTCTGTTGGGAGAATCTGTTTGTGATTAAGAGCCACAATGCTGATGAGTGTTTCCAGAGTTGTTGTGCTTTGTGGCACTGTATGTTACATGCCCAGTTGGGCGACGTACATACAAAACCAAGGATCCGCAATGTGATAAAAAGGACTGAATGGACAATGCAGTGCAAGTAGAATCTCAACAAGGAATGTGCATTCCGATACATACAAATGGTGCTTTATAGCGCAGGGAAGACTTAGATACAAATCCTGACCTGACCGGGACTGACCCCCTTTCACGTAGTACAAGATAGCGAAGCAGAATGCTAGAATACTATGACTAGCCCAATCAATGTCTCAACGTAGACTAAACATACATCATGCTCATCACGAGGTGTGAAGGAGCCTGGCGCTATACACAGGAAGAGGC